AGAGTTATATCCTTTATATCGTTTTCCAGTGTTATGTTCTACATTCTACAGCAAGATCCTCGGCATGCATGTGTTGACTAATCCATGTGTTCTAAGCACATCGGAACCATTTGTTCATTGCGATCTTGGTAAAAATTTATGAGGTTAAGAAAGTGTCGGATAAGTTCACATGATTATGAGACAGTAAAGTTGGAAACTTTCTCATGAATTCACGTGAATTTATTGTAGCATAGAACCAAAAAGAAAGCCAACGAAAAACGAAAAATAGAGGATCGGGATTTCTCTCTTAAAGTTTTTAAGTGTCATGAACAATTACACTACCAAGTACCAACAAATAATACACAAGAGTAGCCTATTTGATTCATTAGCAGAATAAACCATGAGACAAAGTGTGCTGTTTCGTGATTCATAGTATCCATCCGAAAATGGTTTATTCTGCTAATTAACTCGAAGTTAACGAAATTTCAGTATACTATGATTCGTATGAGTTTATATTCATTATTATTCACGAGTTTAATAAGAAAAACCCTAGACAAAATATATTTATCTCAATTGTGATTCTCTCTCTTCGCTTATTAACCCGGTTTCTCTACAAAATCCTATATATTGAACAATAAAACACTCCAAAACTTGCAAATTTCCAGTACCAAGACTAATATTGACATTGAAATAGTTTCATACGTTAAGAATTTGCAACAAGAGAGCAGCAAGAGTAACACATTCATTCTAAAAGAATACCAAACAGATAAAATAGAAGATGAGATGAAGAAAACGAAAAATGAAGAGGCTTGTGGTTCTATATATGTTCTGTATCACAATGTTCACAAAGCCTACAAAACTTCTTCCAAGTCCAATTCCAAAATCTACAATGTTCCAAGTGTTCTAGGTTTGGTCCTTTGAACGAACAAAAGACTCAAAAACAAATTATAAATCCATATATTTTTCTTTAAGACATTTGATATCAAGTCATCTACTATCAACCATACATGGATACAACAAACACATGGAGATAGAATCTTATTCTAGCATATTCGAGTGACCAATGCTAAAACAAATTTTAACGTTCACGCGCGTTTTTTTAATAGTTATTCAGCTATTAACTTACTAAAACCAGATTTTTAATGATGTATGGTTATGCTGCGGAAATTCTATTGTAGTTCAAGTATTTCCGCTATTCATATGATATATATATACCAGTTACGACCCAGCTAGAATAGCGTAAATGTTCCTAGCTCCTAATTTTCGATTGCTAGACGATAATCATTTTCTTAACCATAACAACCGGAGATAAGCTCATACTCAGCCATATCTATCAACCCACATAAGTCTCAACCGCCTTCACTTCTGATGAACCTCTCCTGATTTCACATAACTACAAAAGGAAAATGCCTTAGAATCATAAATATTCACATAGTCAGCATAGAAAATTATACACTATATAATGCCCCAGATTGTGAGTTCATCAACTTCAAACTATCAATAGACCCCAATCTCATTCCATGGTTTTACTTTCAAGTGTAACTTTGACTCACCTTTTATAGTTGGGACCGTTCCATAAAACTGTGTGCAGTCTGCAAAAAAAGAAATGTGTTTTTCCAATGATAATATATACTTTTAGAATACAAACATCTTATTTATGTGACAAAAAAAAAAGAATACAAACATCTTATTCAAGCGACTCTTAGAATCAATCATAAAGGGTCAACAACATTATATTTATGAGAAAATATGCAAACTCACATATACATGTCTAAAAAAAATTTAAGACAAAATCTATGACTCATCAACAA